CTGGAAGTTTTCCTGTAGGGAAACAGGCTGGGGCCTGTAGGCCCTGTCAGAAGGAAGCTTCCAGGCAAGAGCCTGGAAGTTTCCCTGTAGGGAAACAGGCTGGAGGTCCGGGACGGGCCCTGCAAGGCCCGTGTGGCTGCACAGTATGCCACAGGCACTTGCGACATGCTGCGCAAGCGCTGCTGCGCCACTGGCAGGCAAGCGCCCATGCGCTCACGGGCGAGCAGGATACACGCAGGCAGCCATAGCCGAGCTGCCCTGCGAGGTGCTGGATGGGGCGCATGGCGGTCTTTGGGTGCACGTGGCATCTGTGTGGGGGATCGAGGTTGTGAGTGAAGCGTGAGACATACCTGGTGCTTGAGGCGAACGGCATTGGCCGAGATCTGCTCGTACTTCGGGGAGTTGTTGACGTCACCAGCGGCATTGTAGATAGGCTAGATAGGATCTGCCATTCGTAGTCTGGGCATCGAGCGCCAGATAGGGATTCGACATTGGTTTGTTGTTGATGATGATGAGACTATTCCAGCATTGTCACTTGTGAGCTTTTGCTGTGTTCTTATTTGTTGGAACTCACGTTGCAATTCTGCTTTTGGTTCGAGGTCATGACTATCTGGTTTCATGTTTATGATGCTGATTGGTTTCTGGAATTCGCTATCGCTCATTTCCTTGTATTAGTTTTCTGCTTCCAGTTTCGGCTCATTGACATCTCGTCTTCTGTGAGACATTGCAATACGGTTTGCCGCTGTTTGCATTGCTTATTTCATTGCATTCCTGTTCCTCAGTGATTTTATTATCATCGGTGCTGCGTTCCGCCATTGTACTTGTTTGTTCTCCTATTCTTCCTCTACTCACTCCTCACTCCTGCCCATTTGTTTGCTCGCCTTTCTCCCTCCTCCGCTGCTTCCTCAGTTTTCGTCACTACTGAGTGCCTTGACGGGCTAATGGAAACAGGCACAGGATCCACACTTGGTGTTACTAGATATAGTGGCCACTGAACACTTTCTTCATGACATGCCTTTTCAAGTAGCAGCAGGACCCTGGGTACCAGTACTGCCAACCCTTGCAGTTCCCAATTCTGTGATAACAGTATTGACAAGATCATGTCGGGGGGGGGGGGAAGGGCAGGGTACTTTTTTTGGGGTTTATTTGGGTGCTTACAAACTCGGGCGTGTACACAGTTTTGCGATTGAAATACCTATCTTGGGTAGGTAAGGGAAAAAGCTCTCTGCATCCTCTCTCTACCTTTGCAGCTCATGCTGTGACATCTTTTGCTCATTGAATTTGTGTGTCATGAGTGTTACAACTGCTTCACTTGTAAAGGTATCAACCTCATGCAAAGGTATCAACCGCATTTACAGTGTCACGATAGGCAACAGATCCGCGCCCCCTAGGCGCAGACCATATTGGATCAAGAGAAGCAATAGATTCATGCAAAGGTATTCACCCCAGTTAGGTGCAGGCCCCTCTCATGCTACATCGATGCTCAGAAAGGGAGGCTCATGCTTTCGTAGCACGAAAACAACACCGATGGGACTTGCTCCTTACTCTTTTCGTCAGTACCCTCCACGATGGCACATGTGATGGTTGCATATTATTGTCCCCTCTTTGCCGAAAATGAGGGACTTGCTGAAGTTCCACAATTGGTTCTTGCTTATTGGTTGCTTTTTTTGTTCAAAAGGGCGTCGGCCTTGAGATATAGTTGTTGAACTGACTGGGCCCAGGTAATTCAGGATGATCTTACTTCATTCATCTAGTTCCATCTGGATTCGGACTCAGTTCTGTGTTTCAACAGTTCATGGGTGTACCAACTGAGCTGGGTTCCACAATTGCTTCTTGCTTATTGGTTGCTTGGTCTTCCACTGTTGCAATTTTCCCAACAGCATGCCGGGGCACGAGTCGTTCACAGTTTAACGTCAGGTGGAAGTGGATCTGGAAAAGGAGGAGATGTACCAATTCAGGAGAGGGCATGCGACTATGTTGTTGTGCAAGAAATCTCTCAAATGCAGCCTGACTTCCTCAGGACAGCAAGAAGAATGAAGGTGCATGTTGTGGTACGTGAATGTGGTCATTGCAACAATCTGCAAGATCGCAGACTGAGAACTGTGCTGATTTCTGAGTTTTCCCGCTGGATTTTGTCTGCTAAGATTCCCGCTTTTGCTGAGATTTGGAAGTCTGTGTGTGAGCGTGTTTGCTGGTTTCCGTGTGTTTTTCGCGTTGCCCGAGTGCTCGAGTGTGTGTGTTACCCGCCAGGATACTTGCGTGTTTGTGAGGCCCTCGGGCCTGCTGGTACTTATCTGTGGCCGTGACTTTGAGGGTTGCAGTGGGGAAAAACACTCAAGTAGCGGGGCAATTAGGCCGCCATAGGTTAGGGCCACTCAAGTAGTGGGTAGGCGAGGCCGGTAGCACTCAAGTAGTGGTAGGCCTAACATAAGAAGAATAAAGTTAGTACTTTTAGAGACCGGGTAGCGGTAGGCCTATGTCTTTGTGGGTACCAGTCTAAGTAGCCTGGGTATAGGGCCTGTGCGGACGGTATCAGAGGCTGCAATGATCTTTTGAACTGAAAGTGAGAAGTTACTGGTTGCTTGGAGGCCATACGGCCTGGAAGTCACCGCCCAAGAGGCTGGTTGGCCGCTATATCTCTAGGTAGAGCACTGGCTCTACCTCATTTGCGGTATGCAAGTTTGGGCGTCATGCTGCTTGAGTGGGCGCTGGTTCTCAGAGGGAGGAAGAAGAGAGCTGGGCGCTCTGCCTGACTATGGTGAGCAGCCCAGATTGAGGAGGAGGAAGAAGGGGACGAAGTAGGAGAGTGGCTGGGTACTTACCTGGCTATGGTGGACGCCATCTCAATCACTTTGTTAGGCGCTGCATCTGGAAGGCCCCAGTTGGGGTAGCGCTGCACCAAGAAGGCTTCAAGGCAGAGTCAGGCATGGCGGCCTGAAGAGCAGCGGACATAGCTTCTTTTGCGTTGTCTTTCGAACATCAGGGCAAGGCCCTTAGTACTCCGCTATAGCGTAGGCCTGTTCGAAGTGGAAGAAGAGGGAGGCCATGAGTATGGTGGACCTCTTGTTGTGCTGGAAGTAAAAGGGAACTTCGGATATTGGTTCTGGCTCAACCATTTACTGTTATTATTTTTATTTGGTGAAGGATAAGATTGGTGGAGATAGGGAGGAGCAGGAGAGTGGAGAGAGAAGGGGGGATTTGTCATTGGTCTTGCTGGTGTACATCTTCTTCTTCTTTCTTCTTCTTGGTTTTTGCAAGTGCTTTCGTTTCTTTCACAATTGAGTGGCATTGTCTTTCGTTGTGAATTCACACTTTGGAATTAGCCAGATCATAACATCATGAAACCCCCCATCCATACAACTACGGCACTGCTTCGTTGGTACAATTTGTGGCATTCTAGCCTCAACCCGTATTCTTTGTTCCACTCTGCATTCTGAAGGCCTAAACCACCACTACCTGCAGACCTGGACCTGGCAAGCCTGACAAGGCGAGGTACTGTGCAGGTTTCTTGCAGTCCCATGCGGCCTATTGCAGTCGCTACTTGGGGATCAAGCAGTCCCCCTGAGGTAATGGTGGTGGTCTAATAACTTGTTCGTTGGTTAGACTGGGAAAATAAGAAAGATTTTTAACTTGGGTGTCGAGGCTTTTATGGAGACCAGTAGAATGGCGTAGTGGTGGGTTAATAACAGTCTTATTCGTTTGCGTTGGGGAAAGAAGAGATATTTTAGACTCGGGCATTAATGGTTTTATAATGACTGAAGGCTCTGTTTCGCTGCTTGGGTGTCGAGTTTCCCATAAAGATTGCACAACTCCATTCGGTGCTGGGGTGTTGAGGGTCCGCTTGCCTGCCACCTTGCACGTACCTCTGCTACTATCACACTTTTGGGATCACATCTTTTGAGTGCTGAGGACTCACTAGCGTCACATTTTGATTTACTTTGTACCGTACATTGTGCGAGGGTTTACACCTCGGCATAAGGCCCTGCCGCAGGCCCGTGCCCGCCTTAAGTGAAGGCGGGCCCTCTGAATCTCAATGTGCCCTGAGTTCGTGAATTTTTGCAAATCTTGGTGGGCGCCAGGCAGTTGCCACGCGCCAGTTGGTTACATCCACTTAGTCGTGAGAATCGGAAATATGCATGAGCCTCCCAGACTCTTCCAGCAACGTGGTTGAAGCAGGGAGCACCGCACATTTGTGCCTGGGTGGTCGGGCATGCCTAACCAATTCGGCCCCGGGCCGCTGTCTGGATGCGCCTGGGTGCAGACACTTTGGCCCAACCTGAAGCTTTGAGGCACACACGAGGCAGGCCAGGCAGCAACCAGCCAGGCCACTTTGCATATAGCAAAGTCCCTGGCCGTGGGGAGGACATTCGGGCACTTGCGTGCAGATGCGGCAGCGCTGATGGAGCTAGAGCTCACGAGCTGCTGTGTTAGTGCATGGGCAGGTGTGCGGTCGTGCGAGAAGGCAGGGCGCTGCTGAGGGCAGCGCCATAGCCAGCCCCCACGTAGCCGGGGCTTGGCTTGGATAGCCAGTGGAGGTGGTGGTGGTCTTCGTGTATGAGGGAGAAGACGTGGGTGATGAAGTCAAGGGTGAGAGAGAGAGAGAGAGATGAGGCTGATGATGTGAGGGCACACACCTGGTCTTGGCGATAGTCTACAAGGGTCTACCTCTTCAAGTACTTCGGTTCTGCTGCTGACGTCAACAGGATGCATTGTCAATTCGTAGGCCGCTAGTAAGCTGTCTGATCGTAGTCTGGGTGCTGAGCGCCAAGTAGGAGGAAGGACTCTGGATACATGTTGTTGGTGGTGAGAGTATGCTCTCATTGACATTTGGATTCAGTGCTTTGGTTCTCCGTTGGTGGAACATCAGTGCTTTACTGCTTTCTGGACAGTTTTGGACTTGCTGGCTTTCAATGTGATTTTGCACTCTGGATTTCTGTCATTTCGCTATCGCTCATTTTCCTTGCAATCGTATCTTATCTTCTTTTGCTATTCTGGTGGTTGGAAAGCACAGTGTTAACTGGGTATGCTGTCAACTTGTTCTTAAACCACTAGTGTTATGTACCCGATTGAACTTCCATCCACAACGAATTCACATGTTCCCATCCACGCATGCAATTACAGAGTAGACTCGGGGGAGGCAAATCCACACAAAACCGGAGAGAAGATATGCACAGCGGAAGCTCAAAATACACAGAGAATTGAAAAACGAATTTCAATTCTATAATCCCCCATCCTCCTCCAATCAATCCAAAGTACTTGTTCCAAGAATCACAACCCCATTTACAACAACCCCGAACAACCAACACAAGTGTTCAACGAAGTCTGCAGGAGTCTTCTTCTTCCTCCTCGCCACCTCATCCCCCTGGCTATGGCTGCCGTAGCAGCAGTAACCCCACAGCTGTCACAACGTGCCAATCTGAACCAGCAACCGCAATAATATCAGCGCCTGCAAGGAAGTGCAGAGTTGGAAGTCCTGACGAAGAAGGAGACAACCGATCCAGCACTTTGAAGAAGAGAAAAACGAAGTTCCTCATAAGGAGGGACAGCAAATATGGCTGCCAAGTGGAGAAAGGCAGCGCCCAAACCCAACAACACAGTCCTGTGGAAGCTCTCGTTCAGAGCTGCAGAATAGCAGCAGTGCTGTCTCCAACTTCATGTCCCAGCCCCAGCTATGGCTGGGCTTCGAGGAAGAAGATGCCCTCGCCCAAAATAACGTAGCAACACTTCGGCAACGAACGGGCAGAGTTTACCCAGCCGAAACAACGAGAAAAAGACCCGAACTCATTTTCCTGCCCGCTACTTCTACTGAAACGGTTTTCACCTCTTTGCAGTAACAAACGCAGATCCGAGGGCTCGATCTCTAGACCTCACCCTACCCGTGTACAGTATCTGTGTAGTCCCCGGCAGTTGAACCTGTGACCTGTGTATTCGTAGACAGTTGGTAGGTCTGTCATAGGTTCATAGGTAGCAGGGGTTCGATCTGTAGATCCATAGAGTAGAAGTCTTAGCGAGTTTCAGAAGTCTAGCTGTAGTCCTTCTAGAAGGTCGGCAAGTGGGCAAGTGGTCAAGTGGCGAGTCAAGTGGTGGACTAAACTGCAGTGCGATCGCAGTCCGACCTCGGTAGGTTAGCAGTGAGTCCAGAGTCTGTCAGCAGTAAGGTCCAGTCAGTCCCAGTCCGGTCCAGCAAGTACCACGAGGGACTGTGATCCGGTGTATGGGAACAGTGAGTTGTTTGGGCGCTGAGTCGCCATAGCCAGTTGAAAGTGAACTCGTATCTGGATGCTATATCTCTGAGTTTTGAGTGGGCGCATGTCGCCAGTTTGCTGCGCTACTGTTTACATGCATGAAAAGTGTGAATGAGAACGAGTCTGATTGCACTACCCTCTGCCTAGACCTACGACGGCCTCCCCAAAGCAACAACCCAAGGCCTATCTGTATCTAGATGGAAACAGGGGAAAAGGGGCCTAGACCTACGACAAGGCAAAAGAATAAGGCTGAATGGCCTAGGACTACCAAACAGAGACTACTAGTGACAGACGCAGGGATCAAGCCCCATAGGGCACAACGCTCACAAACAAAGCACACAGGTTACAGGTCACGGGACCAAGTCCCGCAAGTGAAACGGTTTTCACCTCTGCAGAAGCTGATGAAGATCCCAGGGTTCGATCCCTAGACCTTACCTGCACCCGTGTATAGTATCGAGTAGACCCCTGTGTGTTTTGAGCCCGCGACCTGTGTTTTAGTAGTGACTGTTCTTTGTCGTAGGTCCCTGTAGTTGTAGGGATTCGATCTGTAGATCTGTCAAGTAGAGGTTACAGTTGTGTAGAGGTCGAAACTGCTAGGCTAGACGTATGTAGGCAAGCCAAGCCATAAGTCCAACTGCGTCGAGTCAGCAGTGCAACCCCGTGCTGCCAGCGGTACCGGTCCCAGTCAATCGCCGTCCAGTCAAGCAAGTACCGTGTGGGACTGTGTGCACCAAGGGCCTGGAGGAAAGGGGCAGACCAGCGACCAACAGAAGTATAAATCAAGAGGCAGCGTCCAGCAATTCATTCATTCGCTGCGCAAGCCATGTGGAAGCGCTGCCCCAGCGCCTTGTGCGAGGTGGTCTGCAGAGCGCCCGAAGTGGAAGCGGGCTGGAAGAAGATAGCGTAGCCATAGTTACTAGCTGAGCGGCCATAGCCGCTGTAGGTAGGAGAGAGGCGCTCGTGTGTGAATGTGTGTGGGGTATTGAGGGTGATCCAGAGTTGAGTGTGTGCGAACAGTGGTGTTGGAAACAGTATCGAGAGTTGGGATGTACAGGCGCTGATGCGCCATAGCCTGATGAAGCAAGTTTGCGTCTGAACTGTGTTCTCGATTTCCATATCTCTGAGTTTTGAGTGGGCGCTGTGCGCCAGTGTTAATCACCATCTGTTTGCATGTATGTGAAGCGAAGAAGAAAGCGAGTCTGATTGCACAAGGTTCAAAACACACAAAAAGCAAACAAACAGGCAATACAGCAGACAAAGGTTGCGGGATCAAGTGCCGACAATGACGACAGGGACAAACTTAGTATACAGCCCGCTTGTAGCACTGCAATTCATTGCACTACCAGTAGTACCTCCACCAGCATTGGGAAAATAGAGAAATTGGCAGTTTTCCCAAACTCCTAAAAATTCGGAGGCGGGGCCTGACGACGGCTGCCAGTGAAAAATCTGATCGGCGGCCGTCGTTTCGTTTCGGCCTCCGAAAAGGTCGGAGGCCCACCCGAGGTCTGCTATTTTCCACCACGGCAAAGGTACTAGTCATTTAATGGCCATATTCCATTTACCAACTGTCCAAATGCCTGGCGGTCGATATGAGTTGCATTCGTTCTTGGCTGCATTGCTAAGTGAGCACCTGGAGTCCAATCTGTGTCATTGGTTGCACAAATGATCTCTTGTTATGTCGACATGTTGCTTTTTTTTTTCCAAACAGAAAGGTGGATATTGTTTGTCAAGTTATTAGCAAAACAGTTGCGTGACTCCCAATGTGGAAAGGGATATATGTGCAGGTGAGTGCTTGCTGTTAGAAGGAAGAGAAGGAGAAGGGGTCCTGTGCAGGGAAAAAGGACTAGGGATATGTGATTGAATGAGGAGTAGTGGGAAAAAGGAGGGTGGAGGTACTAGAATGCAGGGGTGGAGAGGTGAGGGCTGAGAAAGGTCTTCTTTCTTTTTGTTTCCTTGGAAGGAAGTGCTCTTAACTTTTCTCACCTTCTTTTGCTGCTGTTCACTGAGTTCTTATTATGTTTTTTGAACTTTTTCTTGTCAAATGGCTCAGATAATTTATTCGCTCGGTTAACTTTGCTATCTTATCCTTGTGTCCTCTTCCGGGCCATGATTCAGACATATGACTGTGTCATTCAGGCCCTATTGATGCGAAGGCTACCAGCTCAGAGGCCTATTGAAGATGGAAAACTCGGTCACAAATTGTTGCAACTTTCGCCGCCACAAGCAAAGGAAGCTGCTATCCCTTCCCATGAGCGATGCCATCGGCAGGAGAAGAAGGTCGAGGCGGAAGAAGATGTGCCAGCACCTGGAACACCAGTGGTTGGTGGCGCTCATAACACAGAAAGAAGCCCACAGCGATGCTCGCCTTTAAACATTGCAGGACGATCACCTGAAATGTCTGGTCCTTCTCTCATGACCACGGGGGTCGTTTCAAACCTAGTGGGAACCGCACAAGTCGAGAGGTCAAGCCCTCATCGTGTAGGAGCTGCTTTTTCTGAACAGGTTCCGTCACATTCTCCTGGGAACCAAGCTGCTTGCAGTGCGTCAGGCATCATGCCTGTGTCTCCTGTGACTGTGATTCCAGGAAGGTCTCGGACAGAAAGACCTGTTGTTTGCTTCTCTGGTGCAGCCTCAGGTGATGGATCGAGACACGCACTGCAGAAGACGAAACCTTGTACAGAAGCCTCCCCATTAAGGCGCTCAGCACGATCTCCAGCACAACAAGCCAATCCTAACGCGTCAGGCGCCAACCCTGTGTCTTTCTCTCCACCCATGTCTTTGAAGAAGCCTTCCGCCGCTCGTGGTGCAACCATTGCAGTTGCTATCAATGAGCGACCTTCTGAAAGACCTGCTGCTCGCTCTTCGGGTGCAGCCTGTGGTGATGGATCGAGAAGATGTGCAGTGAAGAAGCCCAAACCTCATTCAGAAGCCTCCCCACTAAGGCGCTCACCATGGCACCCAGCTGAACAAGCCGATCTTGACGCGTCAGATGCCAACCCTGTGTCTTCATCCCCACCAGTTTGCTTGGAAAAGCCATCTACAGCTTGCGGCACAACCATTGCAGTTGCTATCAATGTAAGATCTTCGAAAGGACCTGCTGCTTGCTCCTCGGGTGCAGTGGAGAAAAGCAAACCTTGTCCAGAAACCTCCCCACTAAGGCGCTCACCCCGGTTCCCAGCTCAACAAGCCAATCTTGACGCGTCAGACACCCACCCTGTGTCCTTATCCGCACCAGTTTGCTTGGAAAAGCCGTCTGCAGCTCGTGGCACAGCCATTGGGACTGCTCGTAATGGAAGATCTTCAGAAAGACCTGCTGCTTGCCCTTCGGGTGCAGCCTCTGGGGATGGACCAAGAAAATGTGCAGTGGAGAGGACCACAACTTGTCCAGAAGCCTCCCCACCAAGGCGCTCACCACGACACCCAGCTCAACAAGCCAATCTTGAAGCGTCAGATGCCAACCCTGTGTGCTTGTCCCAACCGGTTTGTTTGGGACAGCCTTCCGCAAGTTGTGACGCAGCTGTTGGGGCCACTGTTCGTGGAGAAGGGATTGCCCCTGAGAGTGGCCGAGCGGACCTTGACATTTTGCAGCGAAGGTGTTCACCACGATTCCTGAGACATGATAGCCCAAGCAGAGACCCCAAAAGCGCATCCATGGCCGATATCTTGCGCCACTCACACAACAACCCCTTGCCTTCCACCCGCCGACATTCCCCTGCATCACTGCGAAAATGTGCTGTTTCACCCTCTGCATGTCCACGGTCGCTCAGAATTCACGATACCAATAAGAATCTCTCAAAGAATGGAAAGAAGGTTCAAGTGATATGTGATGACGCTGACCAGGGCAGCCGCGGCAAGGATGAACAGAGAGTTTGCCCTGGGGAAGTATCAGAGGGCGAGCAGAGAGATGGTCAGAGAATGCCATACAGAAAACAGAAGGATATGGGGAAAGTGTCGAAAATGACGAAAGGGAAAAAAACGGCAGACACTCGTACTGACGACAACGGCGATGATGGGTCGGACTTTGAGGAGGATGGCAAAGGCAAGGGAAAGGTGCTGAGAACCTCCCAGCATGTGGAGAGCAAAGGTGCGAGCAGACCGCAACGAGACCTGAAAAGAGCTCCTGGCAGCGAAGGAGGCCACAAAGGAAAGGTCGACAGCGGGACTGGCAAATGGAGGCATGGAAGGCAGCAAGACATGGAGAAGAGGTATCCGTGCGATTGGATGGGAAGATGTTCGAGGCGGCCTATGGAAATGCCCTCCCTTGGAGTCTCCAACTCGGATGTGAAACAAGTGAAGCAAAGGGGGAAACCTGAGGGCGTGTCAGTCATCTACTACAGAGCATTTAAGTGCAATGGAGTGGTTTTTGAACTTGGCGACACTGTTGAGGTGAGTTTCTCCAGGAGAAGTGGGGCATGGAAAACCGGCTCACTTCATGAGCATGGGTGAGGGTAAAATGAACGGGGCTCAGGGCTCTTGCATAAATCCCATATGAAGAACAACCCCGTGATCAAGGATGCGAGATGCCCTTGCGCCCAAGTCTGCAAATGATTGGCCCCCAACTTCCCCCCTGTCATAGCTACTTTTCTGCAAGAAACTCTGATTGAAAAGTTCCCTTTCTAAGTTTTAAAGTTTTTATCTTTTTTTCCTTTTTAAAAGGATGACAGCCTTGAGATACTATTGTGGAACTGTCGTAGGTCGGTAGGTGTCGCGTCATAGGTCGGTAGGAGTCCGTCCGTTATCCGAAGCGTCCAGTCCAATCCGACAGTCCCAAGTCCAATTTTGCAGCATGTCCCAGGACAGTCCGGAAGCTACCGGACCAACAAAATGTTTGCAGCAGACAGGCCGTGGCCGACCGGTACCGGTCTGAAGCAGGCCAAGCCAAGCCAAGCCCAGCGATGCCAAGTCCAATATTTAGCTGCTACAGTGCAGCGGCTCATCACTCGATCAGTTGCAAGATGCTGAAGCCCTGCTGCTGCTTGTGCGTTAAGGCAACTTGGGCACTGTGCCCCTGAAGAAGAAGAGGGCGCGTGAGTGATACTCCATAGGTAGGTAGGTAGGTAGGTAGGTAGGTAGGTAGAGAGAGAGAGAGAGAGAGAGAGAGAGAGAGAGAGAGAGAGAGAGAGAGAGAGAGAGAGAGAGAGAGAGAGAGAGGCAGAGCGAGTCAAGTCAGAGAGAGAGAGAAGAGCGGAGAAGCCATATCCGCTATCTGGTTGAGAACTGGAGATCCATTTTGTGTGTGTGTGCGGCAGAGCCGCTGGAGACAAACATTCTTGTATATTGATAATAATATTGGAGACGGCATCTTCAAGTGTTGATTGTATCTCGATTTGGCTTTTCACGTGTGAACTCTCATGTGAATGTTCATTGATGTATGTGAGGCTGAACTTGACGAGTACTTGGCTCATTTCATACCAACTGATTCACGAGTATATCAATCTGATTGAAAAGTTCTGTTCCTCACAGCAATCTCCTCCCACGCCACAAAGTTTCCTTTTCTTTTCTATTTTTTGTTCTAAAAAGACCAGGTTGTTGTAGTCTCTTTACTGCTGACATAGTGGAGGAAGAGTGAGTCTATGATGCAATGTAATCTTCCTTTTGACTTGCTGGTGGAATAGGAACCGGACTGACGCTCCCCAGAATAGAAGGAGTCAGGACCAAAAGTCCTGTTTAAAAAAAAAAAAAAAAAAAAAAAGAAGGCATAAAGAAAACAAGCACCTTCTTTTTTTTTCCCACCTTCCACAACCCTTAGAGAGCCTCTGCTACAAGAAAAAAAGTCTTAACTCTACTTGCATAGCGGAGGGCCTCTCCATGGGTTGTCAGAGGTGGTTGTCGTTTCCCTTCTAGTCTTCTAGAATCTAGAATGAAATTTAGTTTCCAACTTTCCAAAAGTTTTTCCTTTCCGTTTTTTTTCCTCCCAGACTAACTCCTTTTCTACTCCATCTGTAAGTTGTGTGCTGGTAACCTATTCCTGTGCCTGGTTGCCAGTTGTGTCGCATACCAAGAACTCTTGATTAACAGGTCATGAGTTCAAACTTCAAAACTTCAGAACTGTAGATGCTGCAGGATAGAACAATATGACGGGCTGCTGGTAAGCTGTTCCTGTACCTGGTTGCCGATTGAGTGTCACATACCGAGAACTCTTGATTAACAGGTCATGAGCTCAAAAAACTCCAGATGCTGCAGGATTGAACAATATGATGGGCTACCCCTTCAGAATAAGAACAACAGTAACTTTCTTCTGTTTTGGGGGAGCACCGCACTGTACCCTCTATGAAAGCTAGACAAAGTTACAGCCCATTGTGGCTGCACATGTTGATACAATACATATGCCGCATCCGTAGAGAGCTAAATACTACTTACCCGTTCCTCTCCGTAGCTACATGCCCACCACTTCCTTCTCCATAGCTACATGCCCACGCATTCCCTTAGCAATAGGCCTATCTATCGCCAGGCCTCTCCATAGCTACATGCCCACCCATTTCTTTGGCAGCAGGCCTATCGCCAGGCCTCTGCATAGCTACATGCCCACCCATTCCTTCAGCAATAGGCCTATTGCCAGGCGATACATGCCCAGTTGGGCAATGTATGTACAGCCAAGGATCCGCAAGGTGATGAAAAGGACTGAATGGACAATGCAGTGTTAGTGGAATCTCAACAAGCAGTGTACATCCTGATACATACAAAATGGCACTTTATAGCGCAGTGGAAGACTTGGATATAAGTCCTGACCTGACCGGGACTGACAGGACATCCCATCATACTTCACACRTGTGAGAGGAGGAGGAGATACCAAACTGTTGCATACCGTAATGGTGCAAACCAGAACAAGGACCGACCTCCCTAACGTAGTACAAATATCAATGATCAACCCAATCAATGTTGCAATTCAGACTAAACATACATCGCCATCATTAGAAGGTGTGAAGGGCCCTTGCGCTCACGCAGGAAGAATGCACCAGCCCCAAACATCCACAGACGAAGAGGAGGGGGATTAGACGAAGATGAGGGAGACGATCGGAATGTCGTCACACAAGTGTCACTGGTATCGATCCCAAAGTCGAGTCTGTATCCCAATGTCGTCAACATCCCCAAAATCACCAATCTCTCTCTCGCTCGTAGTCTGCTGATGCCGAGAAGTCAGATAGCGAGAGGGTGAGGAAGAGATGGTGGACTGAGAGGAGGAAGAAGA